TAGTAGTAGTAGTAGTAGGAGTAGTAGTAGGAGTAGTAGTAGGAGTAGTAGTAGGAGTAGTAGTAGGAGTATTATTTTTAGTAGTAGTAGTAGTAGTAATAATAGTAGTGGTAGTAGTAGTAGTGGTAGTAGTAATGGTAGTAGTAATAGTAGTAGTAGTAATATTTTATAGTTTTTATTTTTTTATTTTTAGTAGTAGTAGTAGTAGTAATAATAGTAGTGGTAGTAGTAGTAGTGGTAGTAGTAATGGTAGTAGTAATAGTAGTAGTAGTAATATTTTATAGTATTTATGTAGTTTTTTTTATATATTTTAATATTATTTATAGTGTTTCTCTTTTATTCATGAAGTCCAAACTAATATAAAATAATTCAAATGGCCTGGTGAGACTAATGCAAGACTTTTAGGAGAATCTTAAAGGGACCAGAGGCAAACTTGAGGGTTTTGGATAGCTCCTAAACATAGGATGGTAATWTTGAGCTCTGAAGTCAGATTCACCTAATTTCATGACTAGATTTGTCTCAATATAGAGAAATGTAGCATTAAAGGGCACAACTGCTCTATTTTATGTTTCAGTTCCCGTTTAAATTTATTTTCTATGCAGTTGCCAATATTCACCTTTTTTTTCTTTCCGTGGCTCCTCCCTCTCTGTTTGTAATGCATCCCTCAGATCCATCGCTTCTAAAGATGTGTTTGTTCCCTTCTTTTACCTTCAAAGATATGGCTTGYGTCAGGTCGGGGCATTAAACCGAGCTGCTGTCACTCTGCATCTGTGATTCACCGAGTGTGGAGGTTGATCAAAAAGACAGATCTCTGGCAGAGCAGCATCGGGCGACGTCACCGAATGCATCATCGCCCAGGTTAGATGGAGGTTAGCTCTCTTTGCAATTCTAAAAAGGCGTCTCGCATTTATTCAGGAAATCACTTAGAAATAAAGTTATTCTTTGAGTAAACATGCTGCGATGTTTCAGGGGACAAATGACAACTTTTTAGTGGCCAGTTTTTTTTCTGAGAGAGAACCAGTAACGTCTTAAAATTATTTGTTTAATTGTTTTACAGTGAGTACTCAAAATAATCAGACACTTACAAAAGTTAGACAATGACACTGAAACACCTGTCATGTTAGTGTGGGAGGTTTCATGGCTAAATTGGGCCAACCTGGTGGCCAATCTTCATTATTTGCACATTGCACCAGTAAGAGCAGAGTGTGAAGGTTCAATTAGCAGGGTAAGAGCACAGTTTTGTTCAAAATATTGCAATGCACACAACGTCATGGATGACATACCTGAGTTCAAAAGAGGACAAATTGTTGGTGCACGTCTTGCTGGTGCATCTGTGACCAAGACAGCAAGTCTTTGTGATGTATCAAGAGCCACAGTATCCAGGGTAATGTCAGTATACCACCAAGAAGGACCAACCACATCCAACAGGATTAACTGTGGACGCAAGAGGAAGCTGTCTGAAAGGGATGTTATGGTCTAAAACCAGGTGTTTCACTTTCATTGTCTAACTCCTGTATCTTGTCTGTATCCCATCAAAATGATTTGAGGCAGTTTTCAATCAATCAATCAATCAATCAATCAATCAATCAATCAATCAATCAAATTCTTTGTAGTCCATGAATGAGTTTTTCCAATGGACTATATTTCATCAGGAAGTTTTGGTCCCTCAGTATTATTTTCTTGCACACACATTCTGGACAAAGTCCAAACTTCCATGGCTTTATCTTATTGTTGCCCAAACAGTCGTCCTACCAGGGACAGGAGGCTGTGATGAAAGACTGCATAGAGCTGCTAAGATGATGTCACCATCGGTGWATATGGTCTACACTCAGCACACGTTTGAGTCGGAACAGATCAGTAAACATGGACGTTAGCTTAGCCGAGATGAAGACTTGCCCTTTCCTCTGAACTTTGTGCTGTTTGAGTGAACTCACAGCTGATCAGGTAGTATTGCTAACTATTTGACAGATCAAGGCCTCAGTTGTAATAGTGGGCTATTATTAGACCACTCAGGTCTCTRGTCCCCAGAATGGGGGAGTGGTTCCAATAGTCCTCATGAACCAAAGAGTTTAGTAAGGATCAGCTACAATGCAGCAAAAAGAAAAAAAAAAACCTCAGAAGCTCACATCAAATCACTTCATATTCCCCCTAAAGACTGCTTCCATCACTGGATGCCCCTCCCCCTCCCCCACCTCTTGGCCTCAACTCCTCGTCCTGACAGAAAAGCTTTCACTGATAGTAATGTGATCAGTCAGCGCGCAGAGGGTACGAAGGCTGCCCCTGTCCTGAGCGAGACATCWTATCGCACACACATCGCCATTACGTCGTCTTTTCTGAGTTAAGGTGGAATTATGTCCATGAGCATCGATTCAGAGGAAGTTTGAACTTCACTGTTGTTGAATGCTCAACTCCAACATTTCCTACCAGGACAGCTGTTTAAATTCCATCCAAACATCTGGTTTAATGATATACATTTGGACTTGTCCATGAAGGATTCATCCGTGTCACCTCATGTAGAGATGGAGCACACGTCTCATCCTCTTTGCCAAGAAGACACTGTGCTGGGATGGCGGTGATTAAAGTTTAAACTTGGAAATCATTTGTTGCCAGGGTAACTCACTCGCCCAGCAGAGTTAATGAATGAAAGGAGGTTGGGTGGAGAGGATGGGTGTGTGTGTGTGTGTGTGTGTGTGTGTGTCCGGGGCACTGCCTTATTTATTTCTACATTTATCTATTTAGATTTGTTTTTGTGAGTGCTCTGCAAGATGCATATCAGCTGGCTATGCAGAGCGGTGAATAATGTGACAGGAAATGACAGTAACGTTTCAACTTTTCAGACAGGACTCAGATTTGACAGATGTTTCCTCTTTATTGAATCATGGCCTGCAGCTTTGACTGATCTCCGTATGCTCACAACACAACGTCCTCCCCGCAATGTTGGCATCGGTGGAGAAAAGAGGCTRCAAATCATCCATTATCACAAATCATATGTGTTGGGAATGAGTTTCAGCTTAATGCACCAAGTTTTAACCTAATATGTGACCCATCGCATCGAAACGAGGATTAAGTTTGAAAATGGAGAAACAGGCAAATGTAGTGTTTTGATTAAAACACAAAAATGCATTTCATCAAAATAAATTCCTTATCAATGTTTCTTTTGAATGAACCGTGTGAAATATAATCATTAAAAAATTTTGAAGCATGTTTTTGAGCAGTAGCAAAAAAAATTAATAAATAAAAAAAGCTATCTGATTTTGAGGAAAAACACCTTTAAATTTTGAGATTTTCTCTGTGAGCTAGCAAAGTTTTTGTTTATTTCCAGCTGGGAAATCTCAATATTCAAAATCTATTTGAGATTTCCTCTTCATAATGAAAAAAAACCTCGTAAAAATTACATAAAATTAGGATTCAGACCAAATATTAATGTATTCTCATAACCAACAAGACAAATTAAGTCATATTTATGGTTCTGTTTATAATATCAGGATGATCCAGGTATCAAAATATAGCTTTTAAAGCCAAGAATCTTAAAATGTAAATAGGCCATTTTGACCAAATTTGACTTAATTCTCATTTCGATATGATGAAGGGTCACATATAGTAAATCTGACAGCATTGCAGCTGTATTTGTGTTAGGCATGATTTGCTGTGGTGGGTTCTTGATAATTACAGGTGTACAACCAGGGATTACTTTCTGACAGTTTCATTAAAATTCGTCCACAGGTTCACGTGGTATTTTGCAAACAAAGGGGCGTGTGCATTTACACAGATCCTAAAATAAAAGTATGAACTCAGGTTTACCTCTGCAAATGTCTAATAACTTCCTCCAAAAAGTAATCTTGCTCGTGTTTTCTGCATCATGTCTCTCACCTGAATGTGTAATGTTCGCTCTCTGAGACCGTGAATGAGTCACTAAGCAATGGCAGCTAGGCAACTCCCTGGACAGGTGGGTGAGGTCGGGGAGGTAGCTGGGCACACCTGCTCTCTCTCACACACACACACACACACACACACACACACGCACACGCACACACACACGCACACGGTCACTTTCTGTTTTACTTGCACTGATGTCTTCAGGGAACACGACCTGCACTAATTTGCACTTAAATGGTCTACAGATAAAAGCAAAAGCTCGGTGAGCTACATAAGTGACCTTCACACGACACTTAAAAGAACTTGAAACCCATGTACTGAATACATGTTCAGTTAGTTCTGATTGGAGTTTTCTTTTGTTTGTGTATGCCTGAGAAATTAATCTGTTCATGAACTCATTAGGATTTATGTTTTTTGTTTCTGTTTAAATTTAGTCTTCAAAGAAAGTTCCAACTAGATGCATTTTTTATAGACTGAGCTTTTAATAATTCCACTGGGTTGAACTTTTTTTCCCAATATAAGAGTAGTTTTTATTCATATTGTTTGTTTTTTAAAAGGTTTTCAGACTTTGTTAGAGTCCAGATGGTGCACACATTTTAGTTTATGGAGCTTCTGAATGAATGAATGTTGAGCAACAAGATTAAACTAAAACAAAGATCAAACCTAACATCTTGTGGGGGCTGCAGCTTGAGCAGGGAAGCTCAGACAACTTCGACCACAGCCACCTCTTCTGGGAGGATTCCTGGGTGTTCCAGGCCACTGTCTCCAGTGTGTCCTGGGTCTTTCCTTGCAGCTGGACATGGCTGGAACACCTCCTTATGGAGGCATTCAGCTCGGTCTCTACAGAGAACTGAACTTCTCACCCTATTTTTAAGGCAGAGCCCCATTACCCTGTGGAGAAAAATCATTTTGACTTCCTGCTTTTGAGATGTTCTTCAATCACTCCTCAGCACCAGCACAGTCTGCAGTGTCGCAGAAGCTGAATCAATCCAGGGTTGAGAGGAGATGCAGTTTAATATATTTTTTTTGAAATTGTATACATTTTTTAAAATATAGGTTGTGGATCATTGAAAATAGAGAATTTTGTTTAAATTTGATTTTAAACAATATTGTCAGTTATGTAAATTGTTTTTAAATCATGTGGTATTTAGTTAATAAAACTGCTTTAAGTGAATTCATTCTGCAGCACTTTTAGTTTAAGAAAAACCTTTTTAAAGTAATTTTTTAAAAATCCTCTAAGAGTGGTGCCTTTTTACTTCTGTTTTAAAACGTCAGGTGTTTGGAAACACCTGGTGTCCTTTTACAGCTCACCATCAAAGACAAAAGGGGCAATAAAAGCTTTTTTGTTGGTTGTTTATTAGCAAAATATCATTGGAACCACTCATCTGAGCACATCTGAGATTTTTAAAGCATTTTGCTCTCACTGAACCTTCTGCTCCTCTTCCTGCCTAACAACAGGTCCCAGAGGATCAGTGAGTTACAGTGAAACCTGAGAGGAGCAGCTATTTGCTCTGTAAATCTATTTGTGCCACTCAGATAACAGCAGGTGAGCAGCACTTTGCCTGTCGTGACTCTCGTTGACCAACACGCCGAGCTCGTTTGCTTGAACAGAGGCCAATAAGCAGGATAAAATTCAACTGTTTTTGGGAAGCTCTGAGGAAATGAAGCTTCAAATAAAAGCTCTCTCTTTCTGGTGTTTACCTCGGTGAATTTCCCAGCAAAGAGAAATGTCGCTTCAGATTAAAATTAGCAACTACAACCTTGGAGCAAATGGAATTTATTATCACATTTCAGCATAAACAGAGGCACTGCAGTGTTGGGACACGAAATAAAGATTCATGTATACAGATTAAAAGAGAGAGCCRTTATTAGACGGGAGTTTTGAGTTCTTGAAACGCTTGACTGAATCTGACATGGACTGAAAATAGGTCGAGGGCATGAAATGCTGTCAGCAGCACATGTGACCAAGCAAAGTTGTCCTTACAATTACCCTGAATGCTTTGTAGCCTGCTTATCAGGGATGCAGAAAATTAAACAGCAACTCTGTCTTATGATTGTCAAGAAGCAGATGTTTGATAATTGGGCAATTTCAATAATCTGAGTTAAAAGTTCAGATTTTTTGCAGCTTTCTATTTTTAACGATCTTCTGAAAATTTTTATAGAAGAGTTGGTTCCTGTCTGACCTGGACTAATAAGTCATAAAAAACATGACTGCCTGCTCTGAAATTACAAACAGACATGTCCCAAATGTTGCCATTAAACCATTTGACTCCAATAGGCCAAAAGTTGGAAATTTCAACATTAAAAACATCCAGTTTGTCAGAAATTTTCAAATGATATTAAAATATGCCTAGAAATGGACAAAACAGCTGAGTTCTTTACCAAAATAAGTTGAAAAACATATTTCACTTTTTAGGTGTTTAACATTACAAAGCAACAAATTAGTTTTTTACAGTGTAGACTAGAAT